GGGTCTATCCTTATATTATGTCTATGGCTGCTGGCAGTCGGCCACAGTGTGAGCCAGGAAGTAAACAGTGAGAGGTGAACAGAACAGGAAGTGAGGTCACACCGAACCTGGAGATCAAACAGTTTCTAGTTTAAAGTCTGGAGGTCCAGACCCGGCCGGTCGGCGTGGTGCCGGGCTCAGGAAGAACTCTGGGTCTAAAGCTGAAAGAGGACATTTTACTGTTCAGACTAATCCAGGTCTGATCTGATCGATCGGTCTGATCGATGGATCAGACCGATCGATAGGTGTGTCTCTACTTCAACACACCTGAGTCAAATACTGAGTTGTTAGCAGAACCTGATGCACTGAGGAGGAGATTCAGCTGTTGGATCCAGGTGTGTTGGACAGGGAGACGTCTAAGAGCTGCAGGACTCCGGACCTCCAGGACCAGGACCAGGACTGCCCAGCCCTGCTCCAGCATCTTTCTGAGCTGCTGCTTCTCTCTGCAGGTACGGTGACATGGTTCCTAACACCATCGCAGGGAAGATCTTCGGCTCCATCTGCTCCCTGAGCGGCGTTCTGGTCATCGCGCTGCCCGTCCCCGTCATCGTGTCCAACTTCAGCCGGATCTACCACCAGAACCAGAGAGCCGACAAGATGAGAGCGCAGCAGGTCAGAAAACTGACCTCATCCCTGTAGCTCCGCCCATAGGAAGCGGCATCCCTGTAGCTCCGCCCACAGGAAGCAGGGCCTCATGCAGTACTGTAGTTTTCAGAATCGTACAACTGCAAATTAATTTTCTAAAATGTTCATAATATGTGAATCGTTTGATGAACACAACAGGTTGACAGAATATCAGTGTAAGAAAAGAGATGTGTGTGTGTGTGTGTGTGTGTGTGTGTGTGTGTGTGTGTGTGTGTGTGAGTGTGACTCTGACGCTGATGTTTTCCTACTTCTGTTCACAGAAAGTCCGTTTGGCTCGAATCCGCATGGCGAAGAAAGGAACAGCAAACGCCTTCCTGCAGTACAAAGAGGACCACACTCTGGGAGTGAGACACACACACACACACGCGCGCGCACACACACCCACACACACACACAGCTTTGCAGCATACACCAGTATGAATAAATGAATGTCAGACATGGAGGCCATCAGGAGATCGTCCAGCTCTCGTCCTTCCAGCAGATCTTCAACTTCTAGCTTTGGTTCTGGAGCTCTTTGGTTCCAGTCGGGTTCTGGTTCTGGAGCCTTCATGCTGAGCTGGTGCTGTTCGCTCTCCAGTGGTCTCAGACTTCCTGTCGTCTGAAGCGGATCTCCTTCATCGGGTCGGACCATTTCAGGCCTGATGAAGGCTGCTTTCATCCTCATCCTCATGGAGCTTCTTCAGGTGGATTAGACTGATGGGTCCAAATCCACCTGCAGCGCAGAGCAGGAACCCAGGATTTAAAAAGGGCTTAACTGGAGCCAGGAAGAGGAGGAGGAAGATAGAAACTTGGAGGAAAACTGCTCATCTTATGTGATAAGAAACTTGAAAACAGCCACAGAAGGAGGTGGAGCAGAGAGGAACCAGAGCATCTGGACCTCTGGCTCCCTCACCATAAAGGAGGAAACAACCGCCTCCATGACAACAGCTGGAAACTGACCTGCAAGCCCACAATGTGCTTCACTGGGAAAACTGATAACCGATAACAATAACCGATAACTGATTGTTCCAGGTTGTAAGTGAGGACTGACTGGTTTCTGTCATGTTTTCAGGACCGGGACAGCGACAGCACGGCTCTGTGTGTGAAGAACAGATCCGCCTTTGAGCATCAGCACAACCACCTGCTTCACTGTCTGGAGAAAACCACGGTGAGGCAAGAACTACAGGAACTACAGGAACTACAGGAACTACACCCTCTGTGGTTCATGCTCCTGATCATAGCTGGTCTTCATTGTAAACACAAACCACACAGGAACAAGACACGATACCATGAGAGCAGGATGGAGCTAATGCAGCAAATGGAGAAACTGAAGCTAATAGAGCTAATAAAGCTAATGGAGCTAATAAAGCTAATGGAGCTAATAAAGCTAATGGAGATAATGAAACTATTAGAGCTAATAAAGCTAATGGAGCTAATAAAGCCAATGGAGCTAATAAAGCTTATGGAGCTAATAAAGCTAATGAAGCTAATAAAGCTAAGCAGCTGACAGATTAAGTAAAACTCTCAATGGCGGTTAGAAGGTTCATTGGTATCTTCCTCCACCTTGTCCTCTCAGAACCACGAGTTCACTGATGAGATGACCTACAGTGAGCTCTGCATGACCGAGTCGGTGGGCTTCCGGACCAGCCGTAGCACCTCTCTATCCAGCCAGCAGGGGGCGCAGAACAACTCCACCGGCTGCTGCCCCCGCCGGGCCCGGAGGAGAGCCGCCATGCGACTGGCCAACTCCACGGTGTCCGTGAGCCGGGGCAGCGTCCAGGAGCTGGACACCCTGCAGTTTAAGACCACCTCCATACCGCCACAAACGTAAGTAATCGTTCCACTGCCAAACACACAACCGACGCAGAAATTAGCCAAATCAAGGTCTCTTAGAGAGAATGTACAGGTCCTGCAGCAGAGCCCTGAGGTTCCCCGGGTTTGGCTGGAGAGGTCTGATCAGACCAGGGATTCAGGGATGAGTGTCAGTGTGTTGTGCATTCTGCAGAGACTGGTTGCCTCCAGTCTCTGATCCACTGTCTTCCCACGGTGGAATGGTCCAACAGTCTAGAGCTTATTGTTGCATTTAAAGGGGATTCTACGGTGGCCGACAGGTGCAAATGCGCAGCAAAAGAGAAAACATGCAAACAAAAGAAAAGACACGCGCAGAAATTAAATGCGGCAAACAAAAAGCAAATCAAATGCAGCAAACAAAAAGTGTTGAAAACGGAAGTG